CTTCCCAACCCAGGGATTGAACCCATGTCTCCTGCCTTGGCAGGGGGATTCTTTACCATTAGCACCATCTGGGAAGCAAGGTTCTGAGTAGCATTTCTGGAGGGAGTAAGCAATGGGCCAAAAGGAACAGAGACCTGTCCTTCTAGCCAAGAGACTCTACCAGAAGTTATAGTGACTAAAACAGTGTGACATTGACACAGGAACAAAGAAGTTCACGGAACAGAATGATGAGTTAGGAGCAGACATGTCATGTGAGACTTGGAATGTCGTACAAAATCATGATTTAAAGTCAGTGGGGATATATGTCTGTGCAGAGTTGACTCACTTTGCTATACAGGAGAAACTAACATGACCTTGTAAAGCAACTATACTCCAATGAGAGTTAATTAATTTTTTTAACTACTCAGAAATAAAATTATAAAATAAAATCAGTGGGGAAAGAACAGTTTGTTCTATAAGGGTTCAAAGCAATTAACTACTCATTAAAAAAATAAAGTTATATCCTTATCTCACACTGCTTACCAAGATAAAGTCCAGATGAATCAACATAAATATCTGTAAGTATGTCAGAAAAATATAGGAGAGTGTTGATTTTCTTAAAGTAGACACAGGAAGCAAAAACTAAACATCAAAAGACTGCTCACTTAGACTACAATAAATAATCAAAATAAATGACAAAAACAGCTTTATTCATAATTGTCAAAACTTGGAAGCGACTAAGAAGTCCTTCAATAAGTGAATGAGTAAATAACCTGTGATACATCCATACAGTGCAGTATTATTCAGGAATAAAAGGAAAAGCGTAATCAAGCCAGGAAAGACATGGAGGAACCTTAAATCCATATTGTTAAGTGAGAGAAGCCAATCAGAAAAGGCTATATACTGTGTGATTCCAACTCTATGGCATTCTGAAAGCACCAAGCTACGGAGACAGTAAAAAGATCACTGGTTGCCAGGGTTCAAGGAGGGAGGGATGGCCAGGTGGAGCATAGGGGATTTTTAGGGACATAACTATTGGACACAATGGTGAATACATGTGTCAAAATCCACAGACTGTACAACACAGAGAATGAACCCTAATGTAAATGATGGATTTCGTTAGTAATAATGTATCACCGGGGCTCCCCTGGTAGCTCAGCTGGTAAAGAATATGCCTGCCATGCAGGAGACCCTGGTTCGGTTCTGGGTCAGGAAGATCCCCTGGAGAAGGGATAGGCTACCCACTCCAGCATCCTTGGCCTTCCCTGGTGGTTCAGTCAGGAAAGAATCCACCAGCAACTCAGGAGATCTTGGTTCGATCCCTGAGTTGGGAAGTTCCCCTGGAGGAGGGCATGGCAACCCACTCCAGTATGCTTGCCTGGAGAATCCCCATGGACAGAGGAGCCTGGCGGGCTGCAGTCCATGGGGTCACAAAGAGTTGGACACGACCTAGCAACTAAGCACAGCAATGTATCACTACTGTCTCATCAGTTGTAACAAACGTAAACACTATTGAAAGATGTTAATCATAGGAGAAACTGTGGGGGAAGAGAGAGGCGGGGTTTGGGAACTCTGTAACTCTCTATTTTCTGATCCTTCCTCTGTAATCTTAAAACTGCTCTAAAAAATAAAACCTATTAGTTAGAAAAAGATGTGCTATACATGAGAAAAGACAAACGGTAAACTGGAGTCGCTATAACAAATAGGATTAGTATCCAGAAGACATAAAGAACTTCCATCAATTGATAAAGAGAAAGATTTTTTTTTAAAAAAAGGAAATTGACAAAGGATACAATCATAGAATAAGAAATACAAATGGTTAATAAACACATGGAAAATGCCCAAGCTTACTAGTCATGAGGGAAATGTAAAAACTGAAACAATGTTGAGGTGTTATTTTTCACCATGCCATGGATACGATTTGTAATGTTTTATAATATGAAGTATTGGTGAGGATTTGGGTGAGGTCTCTCACAGCTGGCAGAAGTTCCACAAGGTTCTGCTTCTCAAGTGAGCAGTTCACTGACATTGATCAAAATTTAAAACGTACAAGGCGTTTATGACCCGGCACTTCCTCTTGTTGTTCACGCTGGAGAAATATACTTGGTTGTCTGCACAAAGAGACTTGTAGAAGCGTGTTCCTTGCAGCATTGCTTAGGGAGCAAAAAAGCTGGAAATAAATAGTGTCAACTGATTGGATAAATAAAACATGATATATCGTTATCAAGGAATCTCATGCATCAGTTCCAAAGAATAAGGTATGTCTTATGTACTTTTTGGAAGTTCACCAAGAATTGTGTCAAGTAAAGACAAATAAGAGGGACTTCCCTGGTGGTGAGGTGGTTAGGCATACTGTCTGCCAGTGCAGGGAGCTCAGGTTTCCATCCTGAACTGAGATCTCACGTGCCTCGGGGCAGCTGAGCCCCTGCACCCCAACTACTGAGCCCATGCTCTAGAGCCTGCAGACCTACCACAACTGAGCCCATACACCGCAACTACTGAAGCCCGCATACTCTAGCGCCTGTGCTCCTCAACAAGAGGAACCACGGCAAAGAGAAGCCCACACACCCCCACTAAAGAGTAGCCCCCACTTGCTGCAACTGGAGAGAGCCTGCATGCAGCAACAAAGACCCAGCACAGCCAAAAATAAATAAACAAACAAAAAAACAAAAAGAAAATATGCATATGACTCAATTCTTGTTTCCTTCCAACAGAGAGAGCCAAGACAGAGGGGACCGGAGAGGTTTCTAGCCTACCTTTGCTGGGGCATGACTAAGTATGAGGTCTAAGCCTGGCAGAGATATCCTGGGGGCAGGCTGAGCCCTTAGGAGTCTTTGGGGGCCTCAGCACCTGTCACGACCACCCCCTCCCTAGATTTCCTGGCTCAATTGCACCTCACCAGCCCTGGAGAGCACCCCTTATCTGAGGCCAGAAGTCCATGAGAGGCTGGCCTCAGCCCAGAGATACGGGCAGCCAGCTGTGAGTCCTCTGTCTCCAGGGGGCCTGGGGTGAGGTGACTGGAAGGAGACAGATATGTTGGATCCTGCTGGCTCAGCCCCCAAGCCCCAACCATGCACATCTTTTCTCTGCTCCGCTTTCAGTGACATCACCTTGATAGCTTGAAAATGACCACAATGGGATTATTCACACCATGGAAACTGGCTAACACTACAAATCATAGCTTCTTTATTTTTCTCTCTGTCTTCAGAGAACCTGTTGTTAAACCTTTACCTTCAGGGGACTTCCTTGGCAATCCAGTGGTTAAGACTCCATGCTTCCACTGCAGGGGACACAGGTTTGATCCATGATCAGGGAACTAAGACCCTGCATGCCAGGCAGCAAAAAAAATTTTTTACCTTCACACCATAGAAACACAGGATGTCCATCTTCACCCTCACTGGTGAAGGTTTCAGGTCTCAGAGCCTTACTTCCTCTTTACTTCTGTCTTTTCTTATCTCTACTCCTCTCCTTATTTCCATCTCTTCTCTTGTATCAGAGGGGAAAGGGTGACTGGGGCAACAAGGAGAGGAGAGATACCTTCTCAGCAGCTTGGGAAGAGCCCTGGCTTTAAGGGCGTTTGAATCTGGGTCCCAGTCACAACTAAGCCATTTACTTTCTTTGTGACTTGGAACAGAGTTGACCACTCTGAGATTCTGTTTTCTCACCTGTGAAATGGGAATAATCACATTCAGGACTACTGTATTAGAGGTGTGGTTTTGCTTTGACTGTGGCATGCACCTAGACTTTGATGTGAATGGAGCCCTATGGAATTGTGCAGTGGACAACCTGAACAACAGTACATGGCCCACATCATCTTACTTACTTCAGAGGGTTGTTGTGAAAGATTGTAATGGAGATGAAGGATTCTGACAAGTGCCTGGCACACAGTAGGTAACATGCATTATTGGTTTCCTTCCTTCCTCTTGTCATCTACCCCTTCCCTTCTCATCAGTACTGTATCACTCCATCTTAAAATTAGGTCTGTGACAGTTAGCCACACACTGTGGCACCCACAAGGCTCCAGATGCCATGGTCCACATAGTACAATGTCCCCTGGGTTATAATAATCCTAGTATCTGTATCAATTGCATGCCTGCAAGATAGCAGACATGGAGGCTGCCTTGCTTCATTTCAGTCATTTTTCACCGAATCTGTCATAATCTTCATCTTAGGGTTGAAAGACTTGAGGCTCAGAGGAGTGAGGTACCTCACCCAGGGCCACGTGGTAGCAAAAGATTCCCACTCAGATCCTTTGGAGTCAAAGTTCTCCCAGCCAGTGGGTTCCGAAATTTTTGATATGAACCACAGAAAAACATTTTATAATTACAACCACTACACACACAGACACACGTGTATAGAACTGAAAATTTCACAAAGCAATATTTACTTCTGCTACATTTGATGTTATCAGATATTTCTATTCCATTCCAATAGTTTTTTAAAATACTGGTTGCAATCCATGAAGTTGATTTTACAATCCACTTGTCTAGTGCATCAAGACCTGCAGTTTGATAAATATTCTCTAAGCGGTTTCTCCCAAATGACCTTCTAACACTGGTATCAGCAAACTCTGGCCCATGGGCTAAACCTGGCCCAACACTTGCTTTTGTAAATAAAGTTTTATTGGCACAAAGTCATGTTCATCCCTTTGTGTACTGTCTATGGCTCCTTTGTGCTAATACAGTAGAGTTGAATAGTTGCAACAGAGATCACATGGCTTAACCCACAAAGCCTAAAATATTGACTTATCTGGTCCCTAACAGAAAAACTGCCCATCCAGAAACAGACCTGATTCCGTGTCTCTCTTGCTTAAATTTCTCCAGTGCTGCCCTTTGCCCTCTGGTTGAACTCAAATTTCTTGGTGGGCTTAGAAAACCACTGCCCTCTGATCTTCTGTGCTCTGGTCCCGCCGGCTGCCCTTGCGTGGGGGGTTCACGCTCTCCCCAGCACTAACAGGCCTATGGTGGGTAGACAAAGCCCCACCTTGCTTCCTGACACCTTTTCCTGCTACCCCCTCACAGGCCTCCTGGGAATGGTAGCCCACATGATGTACACGCAAGTGTTCCAGGTCACCGTGAGCCTCGGCCCTGAAGACTGGAGACCCCATTCCTGGGACTACGGGTGGTCCTTCTGGTAAGTGGCTTTTGACTCCAGAGCCCTGAGGCATGCTGGGACTTTAGTAGCTAATTCAGTTGGGAAACAGAGGAAGGTGGGACTCAGGGAGGGGAAGGGGGGGAAACTCAGAGTCCAAAGATGCTTTGTGATCCTAGAACTGAGGTTGGCAAACTCTAGTCTCTGGGCCAAATCCAGCCCTGTTTTTCTGCAACTAAGGATGATTTTTACATTTTTAAATGCTTGAACATGAATCAAGAGAAGAATATTTTGTGACATGCGAAAACTCTGGGACATTCAGATTTCAGTGTCCATAAATAAAGTTTTATTGGGACATAGCCAGGCTCATCGTTTACATATTGTCTACAGCTGCTTGCAGTCTAAAGTAGCAGAACTGAGCAGTTATGACAGAGGCTGAATGGCCCACTGAGCCTAAAATATTTACTATCTGGCCCTTTACGGAGACAGTTGGCCAGCCTCTGCCTTAGAGGCTGCTCTGGAAGTAGAGACAGAAGCTGTCAAGAGCCTAGTGAAGGGCGCTGGATGCAAGGAGCAGGGACCAGCACCTCAGAGCGTGGTGTGAGAAATAAAGGCAGACTCAGGATTGTTTGGCTTGGGAGTGATGGAATCCCAGGCCTAAGTAAACAAGAGGAGTGTGTTAGTTCATGGAACTGAAAAGTCCAGGTTGGTAGCTGTGGGGTATGGGGAGAATGGATTGTAACAGGAAAACCCACCCACCTCAGTCCAGTCAATAAGGGAACACATTGGTTCCTGTAAATGGAAAGCACAGCTTGGCATGGACTTCAGGGAACGTTTGATCCAGAGTTGCTGATGTCATCGGAGCTGAGTTTTCTTCCTCTGTGGTCACCTGAGCATTGCTCACTCCCCGTGTTGACTCTGTCCCTGGGTGGGCTTTGCTCCTGGTGCTGAGAAAGCTCGTTTGAGGCTGGTGCTCTTTCCTTCACATACAGGAGGAAAAAGGGCTCTTTCCCTAACCTTCACTGACGTCCCCCCAACCCTCCCTCTGATGAGCTCAACTTAGGTCATTTTCTCTCTTCTGATTCATCACCATGGCTGGGGGAATGTCATGAGCTGATTGTCTCAGCTGGGCCATTCTTCTGGAACAAGGAATGAGTCCAACACTCCTAAATGGTGAGTGAGTGGAACAGATGCTAAGTGAGCTACCACGATGTCTTCTTCAGGCACAGCTGGATCCAGGTGGTCAAGTGATTGATCAGGAACCCAGTCATTCTCTCCCCACTTCTGACCCCATTCTCTCTGTGTCAGCTCTACTCATACGCAACTTTTCCCCAGGTGGTAGCAAATTCGGTCACCAAGCCCAGTTCTAGGCTTGCATGCTGTGCTAAGTGACTTCAGTCGTGTTTAACTCTGTGACCCTATGGGCTGTGGCCCGCCAGGCTTCTCTGTCCATGGGATTCTCCAGGCAAAAATACTGGAATGGGTTGCCATGCCATCCTCCAGGGGATCTTCCCAACCCAGGGATCTCTTACCTCTCCTGCAGGGGCAGGCAGGTTCTTTATCTCTAGCCCCACCTGGGGAAAACTAGTTCTAGGCTTACATGTTACAAATGTAGCAATACCAGAAGAGAGATGGCCTCTTTCCAGTATTGCCAGCCAAAATCCTGGATATAACTTTCATTGGATTAACAAGTCACCTGACCAGACTGCAGCCAATGATTTACACCCTGAGGGGACTGTTCTAATTGGTCTGGCCTGAGTCACGTGGTGCAGCGGGTGGGGTTGCCCCAACCACACTGTTGGACAGAGAGACAGAGGAGAGATCCTCTAATGGGAAACTGGGGGTGGGGCATGAGTGGAGTGAGCTGTTATCAAAAGGAGGACTGTGCCCTGGAAAGACAAGTGACCATAGTCTGTCCCACAGGGCATCCGTGGTCTGGTTTTGGAGCTTAGGGACGATTCATCCACTCAGGCATTTAACACATTAGCTGAGGGAGCATTTATTCAGGGGCAGCTGGTGCTGGGGCTCCTAGCTGCTGAGGGTACAGCAGTGGCTGAGACAGCGTTGTAACAGGAGTACAAGTAGACACGCTATCCATTGAACCATGCTATGATGTTTGGGTGGTTGGGGGGAATCACAGCCATGGGAGCACAAGAAGGGGCCCCTGACCCAGCTTCCCCAGGGGAGGGTCCTCAGGGGAGAATCTGGTCGGACAAGCTGGTGGGGGAGGGAATAAGGTAGCTGCTGGACAAGGGGCTGGCAGGTGCAAAGGCCCGGCAGTGAGAGGGCATCTCTGGTAGAGATGGTCAGGATAGAGCAGAAAGAGCTATGATTAGGACCAGTGGGGACTCCTGCTGTATTTCTGCCCCTTCCCACTCTGCTTGGCCTCGCCCTCTTAAAGCTAAAGGCCTGTGCCTTAAAGCAGAAGTCCCCAAGTCCTGGGATCTAATGCCTGATGATCTGAGATGGGGCTGATGTAATAATATTGGAAATAAAGTGCACAATAAATGTAATACACTTGAATCATCCTCAAACCATCCCCCTACTTCCTGGTCCGTGGAAAAATTGTCTTCCACAAAACCAGTCCCTGGTGCCAAGAAGGTTGGGGACCGCTGCCTTAAAGGGATCTTGACTGGCCAACACAGACTGCAATCCCTTTAAGTAGAACAGTTGTAGGGAATCAACAGTAGGGAACCTCACAACAGTGTGTGAGGCAGGTGGTTCATGGAGAGGAGACTGAGGCACAGGGAACTTAAGTAGCCTGTCCAAGGTAATCCAGCTTGTGAGTGGCAGAGCTGGGATTTGAACCCAGACAGTCTGGCTCTGCAGTCTACGGTCTCAACCTCTATATTCTGGACAGTGTGTGTATGTGTGTGTGTGTGTGTGTGTGTGTGTGTGTGTGTGTGTTTGTGAGCTCAGTCGTGTCCAACTCTGTGACCCCACGGACCATAGCCCACCAGGTTTCTCTGTCCATAAGATTTCTCAGGCAAGAATACTGGCATGGGTTGCCATTCCCTTCTTCAGGGGAATCTTCCCAACCCAGGGATTGAACCTGCGACTCTTGCATCTCCTGCATTGGCAAGCGGATTCTTTACCACTAGTGCCACGTGGAATATCAACAACCTCAGATACGCAGACGATACCACCCTAATGGTAGAAGGCGAAGAGGAACTAAAGAGCCCCTTGAGGAAGGTGAAAGAGGAAAGTGAAAAAGCTGACTTAAAACTCAACATTCAAAAAACTAAGATCATGGCATCCAGTTTCATCACTTCATGGCAAATAGATGGGGGGAAGAAATGGAAACAGTGGCAGATTTTATTTTCTTGGGCTCCAAAATCATTGTGGATGGTGACTGCAGCCCTGAAATTAAAAGATGCTTGCTCTGGGGATGGGGTAATAGAGAGATCATGTGTGTTTAGTACATGACACAGGTAAGTGCTCTGGAAAGGTTAGTTTTCCTAATGTTACTGATACTGACATGAAATTTAACACTCACAATAACCCCCTGTTGTATATGTAGATGCTGAGACTCTTGGGTTGGGTCACTTGCCCAGGATTCAGAATCTCCTCCCCTCACGGGCCTCTCTTTCCAGCATCCGCTGGCCCTCCAACCTGGCGGGGAGCCCAGCCTGCTGTTCCAGCCCACAGGAACCCTTCTACCTCTGGAAGCCAGACCTCCTGCCCTCTTTCTCAGCTCCCCCTGGGCTGGCCTCCTGGGGGCCACCCAATTCCCATTTAACTTATTTAAGGCCGGGCCCCAGCCTGCGGCCCCTATTAGGGCTGATCCATTTCTCCTTGTCACCGAGGCCTGCAAGATGGATCAGCCCCATTTTTCATCCCTCGCATCTGGGGCCTTGCCAGGGCCGTGCAGTGTCATCTCGCTTGTTTAATATGTGTGAGGCCATTTGTCAAAATTCTGCCCCTACCCCCCACCAGGGAGGAGGCCAGCTCCATGGTGAGACAGCGCCAGCCTCTGTCTCCTGGCCCAGCTGGGGTGGAATAACCCCTGGGCTTGTAGTCCGGCACTTCTGAGGAGCTCAACTGATCTTGGGGACCAGCTTTCGAGAGCCACGTCTGCCCAGGAAGGTGAAGTTTCTGTGGCTGGGCGTCCGCCAGCCTGGGTTCAGTCCTCACTTTGCTGGCTGGCGCTGGGAGCTTAGCTCAGGCTGTCAGCGGGACCGGCTTCTCAGGCACGGTGGCAGGGTGCCTGGAGAGTGTCCCAAGAACAAACATTCCCAGAGATTCAAAGGGAAGCTGCAAGTGTATTTTCTGAGCCTGCCTCAGAAATCACTCAGTGTCACTTCTGCTGTGTTCTGATGGTCAAGAGCAAGGGATCGGGGCCAGAGGCAAGGATGAAGGGCTGCACAAAGCAGGAATCCCAGGAGGTGTGGCTCAGGGCGGGGGAGGGGGCATCTTCGGGGACTGCGTGAAATACCGCCCGTGAGGCATTAGCACAGAGAAGGTGCTCAGTGCGTGTTTTGTTATGAAAGGCAAGTGCCCCGTCTTCCCTGAGTCTCAGCATCTGCCTCTCTAGAGCAGGGATCATAGCACTGCGGGTCTAATGGCGTCCTTGTAAGCACCAGGTGGCACCCAGCTCTCAGAGTGCTTATACCCCAGAAGTGCTCTGTGAACGGCAGTGATTATAAATGGTGATAATGACACGGGGGCCTTTGATAACGCCATGCTGGCTTTTTGAGAGGCATGTGATCCAGATGTCCAGGAGGAGGGCATCTGGCGGGCATGCAGGCAATCCCTTGCACTCTGTTCTCCCCAGGCTCCCCAGACTTGGTTCCCAGGACTTTAGTGTTTCCTCGAGATCCAGCCCTTGACTGCACCTTCTCCTTACTCCCCGACTCCCCTCCCTGAGCGACCCCCTCACACACATTAAGCGGAAGAATCCCGCCCCTGTCCTGCGCCCCAGGTCCCTCCAGCTCTCCTGCCTGCTCCTTTTCCCAGCTCTCTGTCTTAACTCTCTGCAGGTCCTCCTGTGACAGTGCCCAGGCAAGCCCCTGGGGACTGGGGTGGTAGGGGCGCAGGCTGCT